TCCCAAGAAATGCAAAAGATTATCAAAGATTACTATGTACACCTATATGGAAACAAACTTCATAACCTAAATGAAACAGAGGACTTTCTGACATCATACAACCTCCCCAGGTTGAAACAAGAAGACATTGAGACACTAAATAGACCAATAACAACCCAGGAAATTGACTTTGTCATACAAAAACCACCTACAAAAAAAAGCCCTGGACTGGATGGCTTTAGCAGAATTCTACAAAATGTACAAGGAGAAGCTGATACTAATCCTTTTGAAAGTATTCCATGCAATTGAGAAAGATGGAATTCTCCCTAACTCATTTTACAAAGCTAATACCTGATACCCAAACCAGGTAGAGATCCAACAAAAAAAGAGAACTACAGGACAATATCCCTTATGAATATAGATGCAAAAATCCTCAACAAGATTGTAGTCAATCGGATCCAAAAACACATCTCAAAAATCATCCACCATGACCAAGTAGACTTCATCCCCAAGATGCAGGGCTGGTTCAATATTCGTAAGACCATAAATGTAATTAAATATATCAACAGATGTAAAAACAAGAAACCACATGATTATATCATTAGATGCAGAAAAAGCTTTTGATAAAATCCAACATCCCTTCTTGATAAAAACCCTCAAACACCTAGGTATAGAAGGAACATACCTCAAAATAGTAAGTGCCATCTATGATAAACCCACAGCTAACATATTGCTAAATGGACAGAAACTGGAAACATTTCCCCTAAAAACTTCCACCCCTCTTGTTCAACAATGTGTTGGAAGTCCTAGCTCAGACAATTAGACAAGAGAAGATATCCGGGGTATCCAGATAGGAAAAGAGGAAGTTAAATTATCCCTCTTTGCTGATGATATGATCCTATACCTTGAAAATCCAAGAAAATCTGCCAAAAACCTGCTTACACTGATAAAGGACTTTTGGCAAAGTCTCAGAGTACAAAATAAGCATGCAAAAGACAGTTGCATTCCTATACACCAACAACAAGCAGACAGAGACCCAAATTAAAAGCACAATCCCATTCACGATAACCACAAAAAAAAAAAAAAGAAATATCTCGAAATACCTTTACAATGAGAACTACAAAACACTGCTCAAAGAAATCCAAGAAGATACAAACAAATGGGAAAATATTCCATGCTCATGGATAGGAAGAATCAACATTGTTAAAATGTCTATGTCCATCCTACCAAAGGCAATCTACAGATTCAATGCAATACCCATTGAGTTACCAACATCATTCTTCTCAGACCTGGAAATGATAATATAGAAATTCATATGGAAACATAAATGACCGTGAATAGCCAAAACAATCCTTAGCAAAAGAAACAAAGTAGGAGGTATCACACTTCCAGACTTCAAACTTTACTATAAGGCTACAGTAATCAAAACAGCCTGGTATGGGTATAAGAACAGGCACATAGACCAATGGAACAGGATAGAGATTTCGGAAGCCAAGCCTCAATTCCTCAACCAACTCATCTTTGACACAGCCTCCAACAACAACCACTGGGGAGAGGAGAACCTACTCAGTAAATGGTGCTGGGGAAACTAGCTGACCACATGCAGAAGATTGAAACAGGACCCCTACCTGTCACCATACACAAAAATTAACTCTAAATATATCAAAGACCTAAACATAAAACCTCAAACTATAAAAATCTTAGAAAATGCAGGAGACACCCTTATGGAAATTGAAACTGGCAACCAATTCCTATTCAGAAGCCCAAAGACCAATACCTTAAGAAATAAGACAGACAAGCAGGACCTCATCAAACCAACGAGCTTCTGCAAAGCAAAAGAAACCATCAAGAGAACAGGGAGACACCCCACAGAATGGGAAAAAATATTTGCCAACTGTATATCTGACAAAGGCCTAACATCTAGGATCTCTAAGGGACTCAAATGTGCCGAAAGGAAAAAAACAAACAGCCCCTTTAAAAAGTGGGTAAAAGACATAAATAGACACTTCTCAAAAGAAGATATACGGGCAGCCAACAGACACAAGAAAAAGTCCTCAGCCTCACATATCATCAGAGAAATGCAAATCAAAACCACATTGAGATACCACCTAACCCCAGTAAGAGTGGCCATCATTAATAAAACAAACAATAACAGATGCTGGCGAGGATGTGGAGGAAAAGGATCACTTCTACACTGCTGGTGGGAATGCAAAATAGTACAACCTCTTTGGAAGACAGTGTGGCAGTTTCTGAAAGAACTAGAAACTGACCTTCCGTATGACCTAGCAATTCCCCTACTGGGAATACACCCAGAGGAACTCAAATCATTCTACAAAAAAGATGCCTGCACACATATGTTTGTTGCTGTTCTATTCACAATAGTAAAAACATGGAACCAACCATGTTGCCCACCGAAACTGGACTGGATAAAGAAAATGTGGTACATATACACAATGGAATATTATGCAGCCATAAAGAAGGACAAACATATGGACTTTGCAGCAACTTGGATGGATTCAGAATCGATCATACTCAGTGATCTATCACAGAAACAAACAGAGTACCATATGTTCTCATTCATAAGTGAAACTTGAACAATTATAATACTATAAGAAAGTGATTGGCAATAGTGGGAAACTGTCAGGGGAAGGGGGTGGGATTGGCAGTTGAGGAAAACTGCTAGGGAAGGGAAGGGCATACCTTATCAACAAGGGTACTTACATAATCAACATTTGAATACCTAACCCTGAATTGTACCCCACATCTTTATAATTAAAATAAATAAATACATACATACACACACACACACACATACACACACACATCAAGAAAGGCTAATTAACACTATGAATTAAATGAATTTTTATGTTAAAGAATATATTTTATTTATAAATATAAAATCTGAAAAGATATAAACCATTTTCTTACCTAGCTGTTGTAGTACTTGCAATTTTTTACTTTTTGCTTGCCCATATTTTCTCATTTTTTCCGTAATGAGCATACGTGATTAGTGTTTGGGTGATGGAAGGATGGACTGTAACCAGATTCAATGGAAGGCTTGGACTAGGCATTACATGAGACTGCTTTCTTCACTTAATTCTCCCTCCCTTCAATTACTAGAATCTAAGAGCTGCCCCAGAAGCATCTTTTTTCCCATCTTCTAAAATCACTGTGTGCTAAGTACTTCCACTACCCTAGCAAAAAGTGGAACCAACACCACAATTCACTCACTGAACTTTCTAAACCACACATACAAAGAATGACTGGCAGAGCTATTTGTTGACATTACAGCTAAATAACATTTGCAAACAAGATGAATTATTTTAAAAGAAATAGAGATGGGTAAAGAAAAAGGAAGAAAAGGAAATTAAAAGCCTTGCAACTAGGGTCTGAGACAACTCTAAAGGGAATGCGGCTCAAAATTTCCAGATGGTGATCTTAGCTGGTTTTCCAGGCTACACTGTAAAATTCCTGCACCAAGTCTCATAGTGAGGTAGGAGTGGTTTGGTCCACTTAGCAAAGGCACAACTCCAGTGAGACTAGCTCCTTCACATGGTGAGCCAAAGGAGACACACACGAGAAACTCTCAAATCACAAGTATCAAGTCTTTCCCAACAAGAACCATGCTTGCCCAGCTGTGTACATTAGAAAAAGGGTAGAGCCCATTCAGCAAAAATATGCCTGCACTCACCCATTCTTAGTAAGCTCATTTTCATTCTTCCAACCTTCATTTATTCATCACCTCCTGTGGTGGGCACTGAAGATTCAACAGTGACAAGACATGTTCTCCAAGTGCCCAAAGTTCACAATCAAGAGCAGAAGATATTTCATTCACTCACTTAAAAAATATTTGCCTCCTACCATGTACCAAGTGCACAGGATATGGAAACAATGAAGCCCAACAAGGTCCCTGCCCTCATAGGGCTTATAGTCTGAGAGACAGGTAAAAACACATAAATAAGCAACCAAAATGATTTCAGTGTGAAATGTTGTGAAAAAAAGGAAGTCCAGTTATAGGATAGAAAGAGGCTTGGTGCAGAACTATGAGTAGGGTGATTGGGAGGCATTTGCAGGATGAGAAGCAGCCAGATATGTGACACACCAGGCCATGGGAACTGCAGCCACCAGGAAACAGACAAGAATGCAGAGTGACAGTCACCATACTCAGAGTAGGTACAGGCCACTTGGAAAGCATGTGGAAGTAACACCTGACCCAGTCTGGGGGTATCACCAGCCCAGGTGACCTCCTTCCATCAGCAGTGATGTATAGAGCACTGCGTGTACCTGGTTCAGGGGAAGTGCTATGATGAACTACAGACAGGAAGCTCAGCCCATAGGTTTCAGGTAATTCAGTATCAGAAGTAACACTTGTGAAACAGTTAGACAAGGTTATTGGTCATGCCCAGGAACAGGGATCCCCCAGAAAGTTGGCAAAGGTGCTGAAACTGACTATCAGATATTGATTATTCCTATGTCTCATTCCCCCAAGTCCCACCATCTCTTCTCCAAATCTCTTCCACCCTCCCATAAAGGTTAGAGGAGGCCATGGCCCCCACCTGGAAGGGCTAGGGAAGAACAAGATGAGGGCCAATTGGTAGAGCACCAGGCCAGGTGTTGAGAAGCCAAGTCCCACTCCTTCACTGTGTATCCTTGGAGCAAGTCCCTTCACTTCTCTCAGCCTCAGTGTCTCCCATCTGCAAACTGAGAGATCAGAAGGCTTGGTGATGAACCCAGGAGTCTTCATTATTGTCAAGCTCCTCCACATGATTATAATGCATATAGAAGTTGGAAAATTAATGGACTATATGACTCTACCTCTTTATTTCTCATGGTGGACAAGGGGTTGCATACCCTACTGGCCTGGCTGAGACTTTGGTTCCATCAAGTCCTCCGTGGTGCAGAGCACAATGTCTGTCAGAGAAGCTCCTCGTGGTGGCTCTAACAGCCTTCTCTTTCCTCCCTCCCTTCATGCCACCACCCTCAATATTCTCCCAGTGGGGCTGCAGCCCCACAACTATGGGTTATTGTTTGCCCCTCACCATACCTGTGAACATCGCACAGAAGTAGGGGCTGCAGGCTGCCAGGACCACACGGTGGGCTTCTATCTCGACATCTTCTGCCACAATCATCACGTCACACAACAGCTGTTTACTGTAAGACACCAGTGAGGGGACAGAATGGGTCACAGCACAGACACCTACCCGCACCATACAATTTTTTTTTCCCACCCAAATGTCACACTATAACTCTACAAAGCTGTTATAGAAACTTGCTCTTTCTTGAGTTAGGCAGGGGGATGGATTCATCAACTTTTCCAAGATCCTGATAAATATGACATTCATGCCTTCCTAAAGCACACAGAGAGATCCAACTACTCTATGGCTGTAAATGTAGGGCACTGCTTCACCTCTCTGCTTCCTAATTCCATCAGCTCTGATTGCAAATTAGGGATATGGTGGCTCAAGGAGTAGTAGAAAACGCTCGGGTCTGCCATTCAAGTGACTGAATGAATGCCAAGGAACAAGAGCATGCTACTGAGGTGTGTTGCCAATAAAGCTAATACTAACAATTCCACAAAGGATCCACTGCATACATAATACTGGTAAGAGGCAAGTCAGATGGAAATTTCTCCTCCCACTCAGACTCAACACTATCAACAAGAAGACTCCACCTGCACACGTAGTGCTCCCTAAAGACCCTGTGCAAAGTCCAGTCATTGCAATTATTAAAAACACTCTATCTTTTTACTTGTTAGTCACCCCTAATATGCTGTGGACTCAAAAAATGACTTATATATGGTTGTATCCTAGACACCCGGCTGTATACCTAGCACACAGTGGACCCTAAATTTGTGAATAAATTGAATAAATGAATGAGTGAAGGGCGATCAATCCACATTCATAGACATAATGGAGATTTGACTACTTTAGAGAAGGATAGGGTATCACAAGTTCCTACCAATTCAAGAATTTTTCCTTCATCAGTCTTCCAAGCTCTTATTGTGCCTATTATCAATATAATTATAATCAATGTAATTAAGCTTTATTGAGTTATATGTGCTGGGAACTGTTCTAAGCACTTTTTTACACATATTATCTCATTTAATTCTTTCTACACCCGCACGAGGTAGGGCGAATTATTATGCCCATATTACATATGAGGAAACTGAGGCCCAGAGAAGTAATTTTCCCAAAGTCACACAGAAATGAAAGCATGGAGACAGAATTTGAAAGAAAGCAGCTTAACCCCAGAGCCCATGCTCTTAACTTTTGTGGTATCCTGATCACCACTCGTTCCTCCTTGACATTAAAGGACAACAGATAGGAAGGAAGACACAGAGGGCAAACACCTTTCAACTGTGATGCACTAATGGTGATGACAGCACACTGTACTAGCTTGAGGTCATGACTGAGTTCTGTGTGAGAATGTTGAGGCCAATTACTAAGTCTGTCATCGTTGACAGATGGAAGAGAAGCTACATATTTGCCATCTCTGGTGTAGCACATTAAGCCATTGTCAACTACTAAGACGTTAGCTTAGGTTCACTTAGAATCATAAAGCCTGAGAAGGCTGGAGCTGCAAACGTTCTTAGATCATCTGGTCTATGGAACTCCTAAAGGTAAGAGACACTCAAAGCCACAGGAGCCTGAGTCTTGAATCCATTCTCTTTGCTCCAGACACAGTGATTCTTTCACAGTACCACAATGCCTCATGCCAACATTCAGAATGAGAAAAGACAGAAGATTGGCTAGCTCCAACAGGAAGAAGAGGTCAGGAAATGTTCAACACATGGAATAAAGTATCAGGGAAGGGGCTTCTGGGAAAGATGAGACTTTTGGGGACCAACATGCAAAACCTAGGGGTTGGGACCTCACCCTGAAGCGGGCAGCAGACCCCATCCACCAGTTGTATCAGAACTAACCTGTGCAACCAGAAACAGAACTGCTCAGTCCCTAACTGGGTATGAGACCATGGGCAAATAAGCTCACCAAAGTTTTCTTATCTGTCTTAGCTGTCTTAGGGATACATATCATCAGGACTAAATGGGATTGCAGATGCCACCTGAGAATAGTCTGGTCAAAATTATTGTAAAAATGTATTCCTGGCATGAATAGACTCATCTTGGACATCTTCACTTCTATTAAGGAATTTATGAAGAAAATTGAATTATCACTGATGTTTAAGAGTAACCAGTAATTTTTTTGAGAGGGGTAACCAATATTTTAACAAGAAAATTGTTGACACAGAAGGATCACAAATACTGAATAAATTTTCAGTGCTGGAAGTTGAACAAGCTATCTTACACAATCCCAGGGAGGCTAATTCTTGAACAAATGTGAAAGAGAAAAAAGGAATAGAGAATAAAGATGAAGAATCCACTTAAGCAAATGAATAAGAGCAGTTATGATGGGTGGAAAGTTTGCCTCAAGGCCAGAGAAACTCTAACCTGGGAAGCTGCTCAAGAGAAACTTGCCAAAAACTCAAGGTGGGCTTTTCCTGGGGGTGAGGAAGCCTTTCTGCACACCGGAGACATCTCTATGTATCCACTCTACATGGAAGAGAGAAGAGTCACTCTAAAGACTCCTTTTCCATTTACCAGGGATTCTATAATTCTATGGGATCTTTTTTTTTTTCTGAGATATCACACTACTCCTAAGAACAATCTCTTTCTGAGTTGCGGTCTCACTCTGTCACTAGGCTGGAATGCAGCGGCATAATCACAGCTCACCGCAGCCTCGACCACAAAAAGCATTTGTGCTTCAAAGGATACCATCAGGAAAGTGAAGGACAATCCATTCAAATTTAGCCTCCCAAGTAGCTGAGACTACAGACACATGCCACCACACCCAGCTAATTATTATTATTATTATTATTATTATTATTATTATTATTTTGGTAGAGACAAGGTCTCTCTATGTTGCCTAGGCTGGTCTGAAACTCCTAGTCTCAAGCAATCCTCTCACCTCATCCCCTCAATGAGCCACTACATCCAGCCAAAGGACAATCTTGAGATGAGAAAAGTTGGGCTACCTACTTTGTCACTTGTGGAAGAGTACAGTATAGCTGTTAGAAAGGAGATCTAGTTCTGGAATTAAAGTGACCTAAGTTCAAACCTCTGCCTCACCACTCTCTAGTGTGGGCAAGTATATAAGGAGGGACCCAAAAAAACTCAGAATTATCTTTTGGAGGGCAGACCCCTTGTAGTACTGGCTTCCCCTGCTGGGTAAGTGTTCTAGGAACCCCATCAGCATCAGTGTACCAGCTACTATTGTTGTGAGAGGCTGTGTTTGGCTTTAGTTCTTTTTTTTTTTTTTAAGATAGATAACACATTTGCCCTTTCATGAAGGGTGATTTATGGGCATACCATACTGAGTGTTCAGTAGTTTTTTACCAAAATTGACATGACTCCTGTGCCTCACCTTCCCTATTCACCCAATCTCACCCCAAGTGACTTCTTGTTTGTTCGTTTCCCTGGATGAAAAAAGTCCTCAGAGGGAAACGTTATGCCGATGTGGAAGAGGTAAAACAAAAATCAGCAGAAGCATTAAAAGGCATCAAAATGGACAGGTTCAAAAACTTTTGAGCAGTAGAAAAAACAGGTGTATTGCATCAAATAGAGAGTACTTTGAAGGTGACTGAAGTTTAAACATGTAAGAATAAATATAAAATTTTTATAAATAAATTATGCAGTTTTGGGGGGTCTCCCCTCATACACTGTGCCCAGAGTGTCACAGAATTGAGATGTGTTGTAAATGAGATAATACATAGTGCTAATAGTAAATATTCAGCAAATGTTAACTCCTTTTCTTTTTTGTTTCTGCTTATATATCTGTTTGAGGTTTTTTTTTTTTCAACTATCTGCTTCATTTTTTTCTTCATATATTTTCTTCTTTTTTTTTCACAAAAGACTACATTTAAGATTAGAGGTTAAAGGTTAGATACTATGGCTCCCACCAATAACCCTAGCACTTTGGAAGGCCTTATCAAGAGGACTGCTTGAGCCAAGGAGTTTGAGACCAGCCTAGCAACATAGCGAGACCTTATCTCTATTAAGAAAAAAATTTTTTTAAACAAATAGTTGCCAGATGTGGTGGCATGTGCCTGCAATCCCAGCTACACAGGAAGCTAAAGCAGAAGGATTGCCTGTGCCCACAAAGTCGAAGCTGTGGTGCGTTGTGATCATGTCATTGCTCTCCAGTTTGAGTGACAGAGCAAGACTCCTATTAAAAAAAAAGTTAGAGATTAATTTTTGAACATATTAATTTTGAGCTGCTAATCGGACATCTAAATGGGGTTATCAAGTAGGCAAGTGGATATATGGGTCTAGAGTTCAGAGGTGGGAGATGGTGAGAGGATGAGGGAAAAACAAAAAAAGCAAGTGTGGAGCTGGGAGTGGTGGTACACCTGTAATCCCAGCTACTCAAGAGGCTGGTCTTGAACTACTTGAACTCAGTAGTTCAAGACCAGTTTGGACAACATAGCAAGACCACATCTCAAAAAATAAGAGTGTCATAAAAGCATAAGGATAGCTACATAGATCAATAGAATAGAAGTGAGAGTCCAGAAGTAAACCCTCATGGTTAATTGATTTTTGACAAGGGTGGCAAGACCATTCAACTGGGAAATAATAATCTTTTCAACAATGGCTCTGGAACATCCATATGCAAAATGATGAAGCTGGAACCCTACCTCACACCATTTACAAAAATTTATTTAAAATGGAACAAAGACCTAGATGTAAGAGCTAAAACTATAAACCGGGTTCAGTGGCTCAGCCTGTAATCCCGCGCCTTTGAGAGGCTGAAGTGAGTGAATTGCCTGAGCCCGCGGGTTCGAGACCCACCTGGGCAATGAGACCGCATCTCTACAATAAATTAAAAAAGCAGCCGGGCGTGGTAGCACATGCCTGTAATTCCGGCTACTTGGAAGGCTGAGGCGGAAGGATCACCGGAGCCCAGCAGGTTGAGGCTGCGGTGGCCGGGAGTGGCCACTGCACTCCAGTCGGGGTGACAGAGTGAGATTCCAACTCAAAAACCAAAAAAAAAAGAGCTAAAACTATACATTCTTAGAATAAAAAACGGGAGTAAATCTTCACGACTTCAAAATAATGGTTTCTTAGAAATGAAACCAAAAGCACACACAATAGACATCAAAATTTAAAACATTTATGTTTCAAAGGACACCATCAGGAAAATGAAAGATAGTTCCCAGAAGGAGAGAAATTTTTTGCAAATCATCTATCTGATAATGGGCTTGCATATATGAATCATTCAATTTTTTACAACTAAATAATAAACAAAAAAAAGTCAAAAAAGGACAAGATCTCTGAATCGACATTTCTTCAGATCAGATATAGAAATGGTCAATGAGCTCATGAAAAGATGCTCAACATTAGTCATCTGAGAAATGCAAATCAAAACCACAATGAAATATCACATCATACCCACTAGGATGACTTAATCAAAAGCACAATAACAAGTGTTGGAGACAATGTGGAGAAACTGGAATCTTCATACACTGCTAATGGAAATGTAAAATGAAGCAGCTGATTTGGAAAACAGTCTGGCAATTCATCCAGCGGCTAAACATAGAGTTGCCATGTGACCCAGCAATTTCATTCTTAGATATATACTCAAGAGATATAAAAACATACATCCACACAAAAATGTGTACATGAATGTTCATAGCCACATTATTCATAATAGCCAAAACTCAAATGTGACATATCTATACAATAAGATATTATTCATCAATAAAAAGGAATGAAATACTAAGACATGTTACAACATGAATGAACCTTAGAAATATTATGCTAAGTGAAAGAAGCCAAACACAAAAGACTACATATTGTATGATCCGAAAACAGGCAAATCTATAGAGACATAAAGTCGGCCACTGGTTGCCTAGGGCTGGGGTGGGGAGAGGGGATAAGGACCAGTGGAAAGGGTTGAAGGGAGTGACTGTTAAAGATTACAGGGTTTCTATTTGGGGTGATGAAAATATTCTAAAATTGGCTGGTTGTATGACTCCATGAATATACTAACAGCCATTAAATTGTACACCTTCAATAGGTAAAATGCATGGCATATGAATTATATCTTGATAAAGCTGTTACAAAAAAAAAAGAAAGAAAGAAAAGCAGAAAGCAATGTAGAAAGATGATTCATTGCTAGTAATAAAGGCATAGTGGCAGATCATACCCCTCAAAAAAAAAAAAAGATGAGGTAAGAGAATTGTGTTTGCAGTGGTGAATTGGGAGGTTAAAGCTATTAAAGTGAGACAGCAAAGACTGTGGATTCTAAATGCTCACTGGTTGCTCCACTCTGCCCCTTCTTTTCAGACCCGATCAGGGTGTGCTATTCTGAGAAGGACCACATCCTCACTTGCCTGCTGGATGATAAGTCAAGAGCCAAAGAGTCACTAGGGCTCTGGTGCCCAGTAGCAGTTGTGGTGTGGCCAGAGTTGAGCTATGATGTGCAAAAGAAGGAGGAAGGCTGAGAAGTTACCATGCCAACAACCCATTTTCTGCCATGAAAGTAAAAAGAATAGGAAACTTGTGAATTGTATGATTCATAAATTGCAAAGAACATGCGTGCTTGAACTGAAATAGCTTAAGACTGAAGGAGGGGAATGTGAAAACAGTGCAATAAATCACCCTAGGTCCCTGGAATAGCATGTAACATTTCATGAGCTTAATCCATGAATGGCAAGATGCTTTAACCCAGGCCTTCATCAAAACAAGGTATGCCCAGCCTCTCTCCGGTTCCCATTAAACTCACCTAGATCAATAAAGTATCAATTCAGGCCCCCTTTCTCCCTGCCTCACCTATTCCACTCTAGTTTTTGGAAGTTAGCCATTTAGATACCTTGAAATTTGATATAGTCGTTGAATACCACAAGAATATGAGCTTCACTAAGGGCAAGATTTTGATTCTCTTATCCGCTGCCATATACCTGCAGTAACCTACTAAAGGGCTTAGCCTATCATCATCATCATCATCATCATCATCATCATTGCTAATGCTTACAGAATACTCACTACGTTCCAGGGCCTCACAATGATATCTAAGGAAAAGTTGTTATTATTCTACATGCTGTTGAAATCAGCAATTCCACCTCTAGGAATTAATTCTATAGAAATAATCATGAATGTGTACAAGTGTTTAACGACAGTAATATATGCACTGTCACTATTTTAAGCACTTCACTCATTAATCCTCTTAACAACCCAATAAGACTGGCACTATTATTAGCCTCATTTTATGGTTGACAAAAGAGAGGTCAGGGAGATTAATTAACTTGCCCAGGGTCACACAGAAAGTACTAAAGCCAAGACTTGAAACCAGAGTCTATGCTTGTAACCACTACATTATGCAGCTACAAAGACAACCACGGCAGGGGTTATTTATATGGGGAATTAGGGAAACCTGGACATCTAACAACAGAAACTGGTTTAAAAAAATAAATAAAGACTATCATTCATTCAATTTTAATTTTGTAGAATAGTTAGTGACATGGAAACATTTGTTCAATATGTTGAAAAAGAGAAAAAGTTAGATTGAGATATATTTTATTTTATTTTATTTTATTTTTTATGAGACAGGTCTCACTCTTTTACCCAGGCTGGTCTCAAATTTCTGGGCTCAAGTGATCCTGCTGCATAGCTGGGATTACAGGCATATACCACTGGACCCAGCTGACACATATATTTTAAAGAGAAGCATACTGTCCAAAGTGTTAACAATGGTTACTGCTATGTATTAAAATTATAGATGATGTCGCTCATCTGCATTTTATAAATGTTCCATAATAAATATATTTCTTTTACAAAAGAAAAATTAAAAGAAAAGTAAAAGAGAAATCTATGCCTAAACCTAACTTAAAATATTCCCAGTCAGCCAAATATATACAGATTATGGTCCATTTTAAACTAAAAATAAAAAGAAGGAGAACAAGATTATTCATTTACATTTCAGCAAAGGAAATATATGTCTGATATTTATACTAGTGTTTTCTAAAACAAGTTTCCCAAAACACTTGGTTTATATATCACAACAACAACCAAAGAGGATTCTATAGTCAAATCCGTATGGGAAACCCACAGTCGGACAAGTATATTGTAGGATTTCTCACAGCATTTAATATGCCAACATGCATTATGAACCAGAGTATAGTACATAGCATCTTTCAAACTCATTTAGGTACACAGCCTTTTGTTCCCCACAGAGACCCCATCTCTACAGAATTTTTTTTTTTAAACTTAGCCAGGTGTGATGTCACACACCTGTAATTCCAACTACTTGGGAGGCTGAGGAGGTAGGCTTGCTTGAACCCAGGAATGGGAGGCTGCAGTGAGCTATGACAGCACCACTACAGTGAGACAGGTGAGGGAGGGAGGGAGGGAAAATATGCTAGTAAGAGAAAATGGGTGTATAGGGAACCTGTATGCACATCTATTACCTGAGCTCTCCCTTTCAGTGTCACTGGAGTTGGCCACACAAGGCAAAATAAGGCCTGGTGAGAGACTCTTAAATCAGACAAAGGACACAAGCCATACGCAAAAAAACTAAATGAGGAATTTCAATAGTGTTTAGGGAACACAAAGCAAATTCTTTAGTAACAGGAGAACCATGCCCATAGGCATGAAGCAACAGCACTGCCCAATGCCTAAGACAGCCATGGGCAGAGCTTCCAGGAAATCTGGCAGGAGGCCTAATAAAAATTGAGCAGTAGAGCATAAGACAAATTTAATTTAACTTGGTTTTTCATGCCAAAGACTGGGCCCTGTAGAAAGGAGAAATGAAAAAGCACACAGAATCAGACGGAACTTTTTGTTTAAAAGTAGTTCAGTCCCCCACTCAACAAACACTTCTTTGGCTATATGCCATTTTCTTTGCCTACAAGGCTTCTCCCTACCCCTAGTTCCTTTTATTAACTCTTACTTGTCCAAAATTGAGCTCAAGCATCACCCATCTCTAGAAAGTATTCTCCAAAGTTCCAGTCTGACATACTTGCTTCTGTAACACCCTTTAAAAGCAAACAATTATTGCATACCCACCTGTCAGGCACCTGATGTGTTCATCTTTTATAATACCTATTTGCACTGTAGAAAGATTATTTCCATTGACCTTATTTACATTGTTTACTTGTTCCCCTGTCCACTCATTCCAGGGCCTAGCCAGTGCTTCAGGGCATCTTTGGTGAATGAACAGGAGTGCCTATGAGTTACCTGGTGCTAGAGATCAAAGTTACTCAGAAGTTGCCCCCTGCCCTCAGAGATCTCATGAACTACAGAGAAGAGATGAGATAAACTCACAGCAGGATCAAGTATGCAGTAAATAATGGCATGACCAAAGGAAGCTTCTGAACTCTCTGGTAAGAAATAGATTGTGTGCACAGGCTTTGTACAGAAAAACACATTCCGAGCCCTGAATCTGTCTTGCAACAAGCTTATCAAACGTGCACACTGGCCTTACAATAGACCATACACCTCTCATCACTTAGCTCAGAGAGGATGAGTATGTTTGTATTTCCTTTCTTTCCTTACAGAGTTAAATGTTATTTAAGGAGCTAGGTATTCGTCCATTCATGTGGCTGTCTTGCCAAGCTAAGTTCAGACCAAGGAATGAGAGAGGGAGACCAAAAGAAAACACATGACATCCACAATCATTAATCTGCAATTGTGTGTAGGTGTTGCAATCATCCTATTATTGGTTTCCAAGCAGCTGGTTCTGTTGGAAATCAAGTTTATGAACAGACCTGCTGTTACCATCAAGGATTTTTCCCCTGTGATTAATCATTAAAATTATAGGTGTTAAGTAAATACAAAGAAAAGAGAGGTTTCTGGCAAAGTCATTGTGTCCCAATCAGTGCTTGAAAAGGGAAGCCAACTGACTGAGAGTGGGTGAGGAAGAGTCAGAATTCCCTAGGTGGTGGTGTTCTGACTTCTGTTCTCAGTCCCTGATGAAGCTCACTCTGCAAGTTCCTTCTGAAAGGGCACAGGCAAGATAGGAAAAGTACCTCCGCAGTTCATTCATAACCTTGAAAGCCTTCCCCATGTGGGCTGGGTTGACAATGATCGTCCTCTGGTTCTTCTCATCATCCCCAGCCTGTATCTGGGCCTGGGAGCTCAGCTTGATGCTGTGAACAGGAAGGAACAAGGGGGGGAAAGAGAGGATCACACATTGGTAAACCCATTCATCCAATTGCCAAAAGTCCTTGCATTTACCCACTCCGTAGGGGCAACTTTATCAGCCTTTTCTCACACAGACCCAGCAGGGGAGGAAAATGTTCTGGGTCAGTCATTTCTGCAGGATCTTCCAATGCATAGTGCATTCCTCTGGAAGAAGGCAGGTCCTAGCTCAGCTTCTTCCACCGCGTGCTGTGTGACTTTGTGTGAGGTCATTATCCTTCGTCTCTCCAAAACACTCTTCAAAACTGAAGGGAACTAAGCACTACCTCACTTACTTTTCAGGGATTTTTGTTCATTCAACAAACATTTAATGGAGGCTACTATGTGCCAGGCACGGTATTTAAATTTAAGGGAAGCACAACCATAAACAAAGTACAGCCCTGCCTCCCAAACAGTTCAGTGGATGAGAATGCAAAATCAACATTTAAACATCATATCTTAAGTATTGTGATTTGATGGGAGCTAAAGAGGCAGAGGGAATGGCAAATATCCCAGTGATAGCAGGTTGAGGGGAAAATTCCTAGAAACGGAGACCCTAAATAACAAGCAGAAATTAGCCAGGTAAAAAGGAAGGCAGGCCGGGCATGGTGGCTCACATCTGTAATCCCAGCACTTTGGGAGGCCAAGGTGAGAGGATCACTTGAGCCAGGAATTCAAGACTAACCTAAGCAACATAGCAAGACCTCATCTCTATGAAAAATCCAAAAATTATTCAAGTGTTGTGGCACACACCTGTAGAACTAGCTACTTGGGAGGCCAGAGCCAGGAAGTAGAGGCTGTGGTGAGCCATGATCATGCCACTGTACTCCAGAAGATAAAACATAGTCCAGGCAGAGGAAACAGTAATCACAAAGCCTTGGAGGAGAAAAAGCAAAGTGTGTTCAAAGTACTGGCAGTTCAGTAAAACTAGAAGAGAGCATCAACAGAAAAGGCTAGAAAATTGAGCAGTCTTGTAAGTGTCATAGAAGCCAAGCTAAGGAGTTTGGATTTCTTTCTGAAACAATAAGAAGCCATCAAAGGGTTTTAAACCAAGAAGTGGGACAGGAAGCAGGTGAACAAATTTGTGCTTTAGAAGGATCACATTGGCTACAGTGTAGAGAACAGTGGCACAAGAGTGAAAGCTTTTGGGAAACAGTAATCCCATAGAAAGACAAGGGACTGTAATTGTTATGGAATGAAAGGCGGTCTGTGTGGACTAAGTAAGCAGGTGGCGACTAGCAAGAGTCAACCATAGTCTTGATGACCTCTGAAATCAAGAGACAAAACACTCAAATCCCTAGCTAGCTGCCCAACTACTCCTGAGCAACATGTTTCACTTTGGGGAGGGGGGTAGAAAGGAGGAATCAAAAGAGTGAGCAAGGAAAGGGCTTTCTTCCCAATCTGTTGAAAGTATTCAGCTCCAGGGTCAAGTCTGAAACACTGTAGTTACCTCTGTTTAAAACCAACCTAAGCTTTGCTTCGCTAGTAGGAAAACAGCCTTCTCCACTTATGTAGATTTGGGAACCAAAGAGTTCAATCCAACTCTAGGACCCTGAGGGTAGTCTCCTTTGACTTTCCCTCCTGAGCCTCTGCCCATGCTACCACCTAGGCTTGCAAACTGGCTAGAGAAAGGGGCTTCTATGGTTAAGAATATTCTAGAGACCTGAGAATCTCTATAGATCTAATACTGAGATTCATATGGGAACATTCAAATACGACCAGCATGCCAGACCTACAGCTCAGCTGACCACAACGGATTCCTCCTTAGGCTTCCTTCCCACCTTCAGTTCACCATGCAAATGTAAGCCAAGAACATCTGAACTTTTGGCTTGGATTTGGGGTGTAAGAAAATTAGCTGAGCAAAGGAGATATGCACAAAGCTAGATGGTTAGAGTTGTATGTTTAAGTAGGTAAAGAAAATCTCAAGCCAGAAAATGTGATCAGAGAGCGGAGGAAGCAACCAGAAAAGATGAGAAACCTCATGTAAGAAATTCCATATGTATAATTTCTTTTGTAGTGTCTTTCTTTACTCCAAAGCTAGAAAGGTATTAATTTCTATTTTCTACTAAAATTGTAACATTTTTGCTTTTGAGACTTAAGCCTGTATTTTATTTGATATTGATTTTTATGTCATGATGTGAAATAGGAATATAATTTTTCCCACAAGTTGCATTTATTGAATACATCTTATTTTTCCCACTCATCTGTCACGCCATCTTAGGTCATATGTTAAAGTTCCAGATAACAGGGATATATTTCTTAACTTTCTAACCTATCCCACTGGTCAGTTTGTCTGTCTCTGTGCCAGTACCACATGATATCTGTGACTTCATAACAAGGTCTGATATCTGGCAGGGCAAATCCTCAATCCTATAAATATTCTTAGAAGTGCCTTGACTAGCTTGTCAAATTCCATGAAAAACTGTAATGGGATTTTGATAGAAACTGTATTGAATTTATAGATAAATTTGGATAGAGCCATCATCTTTCTGATATTATGCCTTCCTGTCCATGAGCATGAGTTATCTCTCCATTTATTTAAGTCCTCTTTAATGTCACTCAAACATTTATATTTTTCTGCATGAGGCCTTACATATATTTGATTAGATTTCTAATAAAAAAAAGTATCTCTAAGTACCTTATAGTTTGTGCTGCTATCTTATAATATAAATGTTGACTTTTTAAGTTATATTTTCTGACTGTTATGGTAATTGATTTTTGAAAATTGATTATATATCCAGCTGCCTTACCAATGTTCCTATTATTTCTATTTGAAAGTGGATTTAACTGGGTGTTCTATTTAGACAATCATATTACCTGCATATAATGCCAGAGTTTTTTCCTCCTCTCCAATTTCTGTTTTGAGAGAAAGCTTGCACTGACAAGAATGACCACACAGTATCAAACAGAAAGGATGCTAGTGAATATTCTTGTCATATTCTTGCTTTTAAATATGTTTCTAATGCTTCCCATTATGTATGTTTGTATGTATGTTTGAGATGATCCTATAGGCTTTTTCCTTTAATATTTTAATGTGGTGTGTGACATATATATTTTCTAATACTAAACCATACCTGCATTCTGGAGATAAGTCTAGAGACTGTAAAAATACTATACAAAATTCATTATAAATATTGTCTTAAAATAGCGGAGAGACTCAAAAGCCAGAGTGAGAAAACATAATTGGTATGGATCAGGAAACACTAAAAGAACTTGAGAGGGAACTAATAAGAATAGAGCTCAGAAAAACCTAGTGGACAGATATTATTAACTCTACTTCAAAGACATGGAACAGGTATAGACCAAAGAGAACCACTTTTGAAGCATTGACAACAACCTCCAGCGTGACCAGTGAACAGGAAAGCTCATTTCTCCTGTTGTGCTGTTCTCTGCACTTTCCAGCCTTCCAGAACAATCCAATAATGAAGTATCCCTGTTAATACAATGTGTGTTTACCAAAAGGTCTCAAATATAGGTTGCTTATTATCAGAGGATAAAAGTTCAACAAAATATAATTCACACTAGAGCCTCCCTGAAAGAGCAAGTGACTTGCTGATGGCCATTGGGCTGGCTAGGGAAATACTGGTTTTCCCAGTCCATTCAGAGCCCTTTCCACCCTTGATGCAGAGGCAAGGCTCAATATCAGAAGGACTCCAAGGATCCTTTCTTCCTCTGCTCTCCTCCTCCATGAAAACATGGGAAGTCCAGAGTGGTTCTGAGTACTTGGTTTCTGGAAGGTACAAGCTTCCTGGCAACTCATTAACCTTTCAGAAAGCAAGAAGTTAAGGAAAGAACATCTGAGGGCTCAGAGAAGTCAAGAATCTTATACAAGATCACACAAATAATAAGTGGCAGAGATTATATTTGAGCTCAAGTACCCTTAACTTGAAGCTTACAGCCTAAACCTTCCAGCAATAAAGTACATGCATGTACACAAATGCTCAACATACAACTCACACACACACACACATGCAAATTTCAACCTAGGATCACACTCCCAGGCACAGAGTTGCTAGATCTTACATTTCCTCCGCAGAGTTGCTAGATCTTACATTTCCTCACCTTTCTCCCTCCAGATCTTAACTACTTAGTCCCCAACAGATTGATACATCCCTACCCTTTCAAGGCCCAATCCCCAGCATTCCCTGTTCTTGATCCCAAATAAGACTGATGGATCCCCTCTCCCCATCTATGAAACACAGACCACACTGAGGTATAACCCAACTCTCTTATCCATGTCCAAGGTCTAAGACCATACTTTTCACCCTACTCATACCCAGTCAAAAGCGCACACACACTCTTACTACTCTGGGCAGACCTAGCCACAGGATGTTTTCTGTTGAAAAGCATGTATCAGTAAATGCACTTACTCTAAGCACAAAGTGGTTAATTTCTCCAAGAGAAAAAATTGGCTCTGGGCCTTATTAAAACCACATCAAGGTTCAAGAATCCCATCTAGCCCAAATGAGGTGATTTAGCCTTGAGAGTTTCATGATTTAGAAAAAGGTATGCAGCTTACCAAATTCTCTCTACAGTTGATGTTAATTTATATGTGCCCTTCCCAACAGATCTGAAGGACTCAAAAGCCAGAGTGAGAAAACATAATTGGTATGGATCAGGAAACACTAAAAGAACTTGAGAGGGAACTAATAAGAATAGAGCTCAGAAAAACCTAGTGGACAGATATTATTAACTCTACTTCAAAGACATGGAACAGGTATAGACCAAAGAGAACCACTTTTGAAGCATTGACAACAACCTCCAGCGTGACCAGTGAACAGGAAAGCTCATTTTTCCTGTCGTGCTGTTCTCTGCACTTTTCAGCCTTCCAGAACAGTCCAATAACTTCAGTTCTAAGTGATTTCTTCCTTCCCTAAATTCCTACAGTATTTCTGCCCTATCACTCAACTGGTACATAGAATACTGCCCTATGTTTGGCTGCTGAACAAAGGAGTCTTCATCTGTATCC